GGCTCATTTACCCAGGAAATCGAAAAAGGAGAACATAAAATTGCCTGGATCAAGAAACATCTTCACAGATTATCGGAATTCTTCAAGAAAGCGAGATCATAGCTTTTCACCCTGAGCTCCTATTTTAACATCTTCAAGCTAGGAGACAGTTTTGATAAAAAGTCGATTCCACATTTTCCGTTTGAGGGCTATCCATTCGAACACAACCAACCCATTTTAACTACCTTTCATCACAGTGATTACTAAATATCGAATATATTATGAAGCTTGTATCTTGGACGTTATGATCGGTGACTTTATCACTTCATAGAGCTCACTCTCCGTTTTGTAGCTGTGATAATTTGCATGTAAAGCCCGTCTTTTACCAGCCTAGAATCTTTCCCCCATACATTCCAAACTCTGAACACCTCCACTGCTGACAATGCCCCGATTTCTTTTTTTTTGTCTGCTATCCATCTAATTGTTTCGATCGCCGGTTGTTTGTCAATTGCTTATCTGATAAATATTGATGTTGGTGAGACTTGTCAGTCGAGAGCGTAGCTCAATTTGTCCGTTTCTGCGTTGTGGAATCCGTCAAGATTGAATTCCATCCAAAATGTAACCAGGGTTGGATTTAGTCCCGACAATCCTTGTCTTCTATTCATCGTGGCATTATGTGGAGAGCATTCGAATGCTGTCACAGTTGTCATCATGAAATTTATCCTTACCGCTTCAAGGTTTTACGTTTTGTTTTCACTGGAAAATATGGAGATAAAATTGGAAGTAGTACTGACACATTTAGGAAGCATTTTCGGATTTAACAAAGCAATCTCAGTCTGAACAGCACATCATACGTTTGGAGGTTGATTCTAACTTTTTGTGGGCGAGTCGGGGTAGAATTTGCTGAATGCCAAAGGTCAGAGGAGCAGTAGGCTTTCCCTTGCTATTCTTTTCAAACGGAACACATTGTAAAACAGAAATCTCAAAATCCAAAGGTGCAGAACAATCGGACAGAGATCTTAAAAATCCGAAGGTACTCTAAGAGGGGTCTTCTAAATTTCTGCCCAAAAGCTATCAAAGTGCACTGTTGGTGTAAAATTATTTCTATTTATATAAAAAGCTTTTCTGGGGTTCTTTTGAAGAGGAGCCTTTGCTTTTCCTTCAAACCCTCCAAAGATGTGTTTGATATGAAAATACGCCTTTTGAGAACTGATATGTCCCTTGTTGCAGCTACTGCTATGTTGCAGCTCCGGTGATTTCTCATCGTACGGGATTGAGGACCGAAGGAATCAGGGAATAGCCCCAATATAGCCTCATCAGAATCATACATATTCGGGTGCGGCAATTTTGTATTCAAAAACCTTGTGAAGTCGACAAAAGTCGGACTTACTAACCAGATGTAATCGATCAAAGCTATGAGCTCCGAGAATGTCTATTCTTTCATTTCCTTGGGTTCAAGCTCTGAACTACCTGCCCACCTGTTAGGGTTATGCGCCTTCTGGGAAATTCAGCGATTATGGGTCACATTAATGACATCAGTCTTAAGCAGTTGTGAACTGATATCGCATAGTTATCAAACCTGTTCATCATGCTGGCGATTCGCCGAATAAATACAATGCGAGAACGTCCGCTATAAAAGAGATCAACGTCATTCTCTGTTCTCTATCACGAATTATTTGGACCGTTTCTCCTTTCTTTCCTCTACTTTTATGTGTATTTACTCACTCAAACCGTTTTTCAGATGAAAACCATTTTAACTACTATTCTACTGCTAAGCCTTGCTTTAATGGTCTCTGGGCAAAGATGTGAGTAATGATTTCCTTTCCTGGGGGTTAATTGAGGATATCGCAGCTCATTATGAGCAGCTATCAGTTTTCGCGATGAATCGACTCTTATTTTCTGGGCTAGCTCATCTTAAAAGTTTTTAGGGGGACGATGGAAATGGTCATCGTCGTCATTCTCCCATGAACACTGGCATCGACGGCCATTTTGGCGTCCAGGATGGGGAGGTGGATGGGGACGTCCTGGATGGGGAGGTGGATGGGGAGGAGGATGGCCAGGCTATCGTCATGGTTTCCTCGGACCAGGATATTTCCCATATCGAGCTTATGGAGGTGAGTCGATTTGAACACCT